GAAGGAAGGAAGGAAGGAAGGAAGGAAGGAAGGAAGGAAGGAAGGAAGGAAGGAAGGAAGGAAGGAAGGAAGGAAGGGGAAGATAGTTGGGTCCTCGGTGCTCTCTGAGCTGGGTTGTTTCCTTGCAGACGTTTCATGACCCAACTAGGTAACGTCATCACTGCTGAAAGGGAGCCATGTTTGATCTGCTGCCTTATTGTAATCTAGGAGGGGAGGCTGTTTTCTTCTTGGTGTATCCTCGATTAGGCTGCTCTTTACTTTCAAGCCACTGGCAAACCACTCGCAAACAAACCAAGACCAAACCCCCATCCCCTTCTAGAACTTAATGCTGTTGTCGAGTTGGGTCATGAAACGTCTGCAGGGAACCCCCCCCCCCCCACCCACAGCTCGGAGCCCATGGAATCGCTGCGCCAGGCAGGCCAAAAGGGAGCTCCCAATTCAAACCAAGCAGAGGTGGGAAAAAACCCGCTTTACGCCCCGATTCCGAAAACTTGGGTCTCAGAAAAAATCTTAAAGTTACGTGGCTAACTGGCCTCCCCGACGAAAAACCGCCCGGCGCGGGAGAAAGGCCGTCTCGTAACGGGCGTCGGAAAAGAGCACTTACCGACAAGCTGCGTTTGCCTCCCTGCTCTGCGAGTCTCAGAAAAAAAGCACAAAGCTCACGGAAGATGTTTTTTTGGGGGACACCCTTCCAAGAGAACCCCTTCTCGACTCCTTTCCGCACACCAAGAGCCGCGCACTGCGCCGAACACTTAAGACCAAGGCAGCCCGGGTGGAGTTTTGGCAAATTGTTTTTACTTAAAAGATTAATTTTATGGAGAGGCTGGCACAGGTGGATGTACATGGCGGGGGGGGGGGCGGGGGGGGGGGGGGGGGGGAAGGCAAATGGCTCCCAACACGAATCTCCCCTGGCGACGAGAAAAAAAAAACCCGCGTCCGACGTCCGCCTCTCTTTCGCTGTCCGAAAGCAAGCAAAGCTTTTTCTCTTTTTGAGCGGTGGGGCGGTCGGGTGGGTATGTCCAGAGTGCAAGTCCTGGGTGGTTGTCGTTGTCGGGTGGGCATGTCCAGAGTGCAAGTCCTGGGTTGTCGTCGTTGTCGTCGGTGGGAGCTGTTGCCCGCATCCTCGAATAAACCAAAGTTGTGTCCCAGGAGGAGGAAAAACTTGTCGAGATGCCCACCCGGGCCGGGCTGAGCAGATCACCCAGGGAAGCCGACGAGGGGGGGGGGGGGGGGGGGGGGGGGCGACGGGGGGGGGGGGGTTTCCCCCCCCCCCCCCCTCGCAGGCGGGGTCATTGGCTGAACGGCACCCCCCCCCCCCCAGCCCCCCCCCCAAAAAAAGAAAAAGCTCCAAAACAATCCCAGGACTTAGATCCAGACCGGTCAAGCCAGAAAAGGGGGGGACGGGGGCTGCTCTGTGGCTCCCACTCAGCCCTCCTCCACGTTGGCGACTACAGCTGTGTCCGATTCAGGTGTGTGTGTGTGTGTGTGTGCGTGTGTGTGTCTCTCCTGTCCCCCCTCCGTCTCTTTTTCAAGCCAGGCTCCAGGACCCCCCTCTTTCTGCTCCCCAGTCAGAAGCCGAAATGAGAAGCAGGTGGGGAGGTGGAAGATGTAGCCGAACCGAAGGACCTGGAGTGGTGTGTGTGTGTATGTTGTCTGTGTGTGTGTGTGCGTGTGTGTTCTTTTTTAATTTAGCTAAATTAAAAGTCACACCGATTTTTTAAAAAAAGAAAGAAAGAAAGAAAGAAAGTGTGACACACACGAGAGTATATTCTTCTATACAGGTGTGTCACTTTGACGTCTCTGAGCCCTATAGGTGTGTTAAAAGGCAAATCCTATAGTTAGTAGCTAGTGTTGGCTTTTATTTTATTTTTTTTTAAAGTGTGCAAGGAAAATAATGTACAACAGAACGCCGGGTGGGGCAGCAGCTGGTAGCGATTCGAACCGACTGCTCCCGTGGGCGCCCACAGCGGGACCGCTTTCCCAGCCATGGCACGGAGGGTACCTTCCCCCCCCCTCCGACCCTGAGGACATCTACCTTCTGGGGCCCCACAACGGGCCCCCATGTGGCTCCTCGGAGACCGAGTCGCCACAGAAGCCGAGGTGCCCACTCGCCGCAGGCTTGGCGAGGACTGGCCCTCGCTCGCACGCACGCAACGCCTCGCCCGCGACCGACGTCTCCAGCAGCCGGGAGTCCCCGTGGCAAGTCAAAACCCCTACAAATGTTTGCGGTTGGACGTGTAAACGAGGGGGGGGGGAAAAGAATAATAATAATAATTATAATAATAAATGCGGCAAGCCCAATAAAAACTGGCAAAACGTAGTGTCAGGAGCAGAGACTCCCGGTCTCTTGGCGGTGGCGGTATTAAAGGGGGCGGGGGGGTGGCGACTTTATGGCATCGTTCACAAGAACCTCTGGCATCCGGTTGTGGTTTGGCAGTGGATCGGAACGATTTGGGCAGAGAGCAGGCGCGCCGGCTGGGAATGGGGGACCTGGCAATGGTGTTCTGAGACTGAACTTGGGGGAGATGTCACAGTTATTAAGCCACACACCTCCCACACCGAAAAAGAGGCTCTCTTGCCCACCCAACCACCCCCCGGGCTTCTCGTACACATGCTCACTCGCACGCCACCCAGCCCCTGGGGGCGAGCTGCACAAAGGGGGTTCGAGCAGGTGCATTTTACTAGTGCAGTTCTGTCCAAGCCGTCGCGGGGATTCTCCAGGCTGCGCGTCGTAGTGCAACAGAAGACGCGCAGGCGGACGCGGTCCTGGGGTGGGGGGGTGGAGGTGGGGCGCACATGCGCCATCGCGGCCTCTCCCGATGGGCAAAGTTCTGGGGAGCTGCTTTCCCTCGGAGAGGTGTTGGAGGGGGCGGCTGAACCGACACGAAAAGGAAAGGCGCCGGGACTCCAGGCCCCACTGGGCAAAGTTACCCGCGGGGCTAAAGGGGGGGGGGGGGGAGGAAACCCTCTCGCCTTCCTTGAGCTGGAGAGAAGGCGGGGACCCTGCTCTCCCCACAGCCCCGAGGGGGTGTGTGTGTGGGGGTGAGGCATTGCCACCCCTTCTGCCTTGCACGGAGCTTCCTTAAAGCCGGTGCTATGTCAGGCGAGAGAGAGAGAGAGAGAGAGCGCCACGCTACAGCCAAATACTACGACATTCCAGATAGCAAACGCGGAACGCAAGACTTGCCGCGCGCGAGAGACGGGCCCCGCTGAACGGCAGCCCCCCCCCTTCCCTTCCCCAAGCCTGCGCTGCCGGGGACCGGTTCCTGGGGGGTGGGGTGGTGGTGGTAGGGGAGGTGGAGAAGAGGCCTTGTTGGCAGTTCCTGCGGGCGGGCAGACGGCGCCGGCGGGGTGGCCCAGCCCGTAAAAAAGGGGGGCACCGAACGGAAGGTATTATGTGTAAGACATGTGTGACCCATTGGAGATTTGCGAGGTGACGCTGGCGCTGCGGCTCATGCCCGGCTCTGTCCGTCCCCCGGAAGGCGTCCGCCTCAGGGCCTGGGGGCTGTTACGGACCCCGAGCGAGCCGCCCCGTGGCACTGCCTGCAGGGGCCCCGAAGGGTGTCCCCACGGCTGGGGGCCCCCTGGCATGGGATGGCCCCAGGCCTGTGGCTGGCTTGCCATGGGGTGGCCCCAGGGAGGGCCCGGACCTCCTGAAGGGTGGTGGGACCAGCTGGAGGCTCCGGGGTAGCTGTGGCTGAAGGCCTCGGGGGAGAGATTGGAGAGCAACATGTTGCCGAAGCCCAGGCGCATGCTCTCCGAATCAAAGGCCTCGATTTCCCGCGCCTGGCGCTCCAGCAGGCCTCGGATCCGCTCCGTGCGCTCGTTCTGCAGAGCCAACATCTCTTCCTCGATCTGGACAAAGGGGGGGGGGGGGAAAAAAAATTGGGAAAGAGAGAGAGGGAGGGGGAAGGGAAGGGGGAAGGGTACCTCCAGAGGCCAAACTCAAAACGTTTCTTGAGGGGCTCCGGAGCCTCCCCGATTTTCCCCTCCGGGGTTAAGGTAAGGGGCTCCCTCCCCCACCCCCCCTTTGGGCTGTGGCTCTTTCGTGCGCAAGCTGAAAGGCATCGTGCATTCACAGCCGTGGGAAACCCTCCGGGCTGCTCCGCCCGGCTTTGCCCTCGAATGGAGGGGTCAGCCACCCGCGGGCTCCGGAGCCTCGTGCGGCCCTTTTAGGGCCCTCTGCTGGGGTTCCCTGTCGGGTGATCCCACCACTAGCCTAGCCCTCCCCTCTCCATCACTCCTCGCTTGGCCTGAGAAGGTAAAACACACACACACACACACGAGAGGGAGGGAGGGGACAGAGAAAGAGAGACCCACAGAAAACAACACAGGAGCCACAAAACCAGGGTAGACGTGGCGGCGGGGTGGTGGTGTCGTGTGCCATGTGACTGATCGGCAACGTCCGCCAGAGTTTTGCGGCTCCTGGTGTTTTCTTTCCAGGGGGAAAACGGGTCCAAGTGGCTCTTGGGAGTCTGTTGGAGGTTGCAGACCCCTGCCCTAGAAAGACGGGGGGAGAAGGGCGGGGGGCGCAGGACCAACATCCTCGGGAGGGGAAGGATTTACAGAGTTCAAGGAGTAGCCGGGAATAGCAGTTTGATTGCTGACCGTTCAAAAGTTACAACAGTGCTGGAAAAAGTGACTTATCACCTTCCCTAACCCTGACCCAATCTTATTA